TGGGTTGTCGTGGGGGCGGGGCTACATCGCGGATGTGGGCGGAGCTGTGGTGAGGGGCGGGGTTAGCAGTTAATGTGGGCGGGGTTATCAGCTTGTGTGGGCGTGGCTTGGTCAGGGGCGTGTCCCGTGTTCGGGTGGTCCCATCCTGGGCTGGGTGAGACTGGGGGTGACTGGGGCGGGGCTGGGGTGGCAGGGGCGTGGCCTGTGCCCATGGGGTCCCATCCCACCCCTGCAGGCTCTGTCTGGACGTGCCAGGCAGTGCTGGGTATGGCTGGGGTGTGGTCGGGGCAGTGCTGGGTGTGGATCTGGGTGTGGCCGGAGCGTGTCCCGTGTCCATGGACCCTGTCCCACCCCCCCAGGCTCCAGCTGGACATGCCGAGCGGTGCTGGGGGACGGGCACCAGCGCACCGTGCGCAGGGTCGCCTGGTCCCCCTGTGGCTCCTACCTAGCTTCTGCCAGCTTCGATGGCACCACCTGTGTCTGGAAGCGGCAGGAGGATGGATTTGAGGTGAGACCACCCCCTTAGAATCCCCCCAGCCCCCCTGGGGCCCTCCAACCCGTCCCAGCCTTTACTGTCCCCCTGCAGTGCGTGGCCACCCTCGAGGGGCACGAGAATGAGGTGAAGTCAGTGGCCTGGGCACCCTCGGGGTCCCTGTTGGCCACGTGCAGCCGAGACAAGAGTGTCTGGGTGTGGGAAGGTGAGGAGGGGCTAGGGGGGGTTGGGAAGGACTGGGGGGAGGTGTTCAGGGGCTCAGCCAGACTCCCCTGACCACTCTGTCCCCCCACAGTGGATGAGGAGGAGGAATATGAGTGTGTGAGTGTCCTCAATGCCCACACCCAGGACGTGAAACATGTGGTGTGGCACCCGAGCCAGGAGGTGAGAGGGGGGACCTCCCAGAGTCCCCCCCGGTCCCATCCTGTCTCCCCCCGCCCCCTTCCAACCCCTCCTGTGGTCCCATCCAGAGTGATTTAGGGTCACTTTGCCCCCCGACCTGCCTCCCCAGCTCCTGGCCTCTGCCAGCTACGATGACACGGTGCGTCTGTACCGGGAGGAGGAGGACGACTGGGTGTGCTGTGCCACCCTGGAGGGACACGACTCCACCGTCTGGGCCGTGGCCTTTGACAAGGAGGGGGAGCGTCTGGCGTCTGTCAGCGACGACAGGACCCTCCGGGTGTGGCGCCGGTACCACCCCGGGAACCAGGAAGGTGAGGGGAGCTGGGGGGGAGAGCTGTGGGGAGGGGAAAGGGGGAGAGAAAAGAGGAAGAGGGGAAAGGGAGGAGAAAGAGGGGAAAAGAGAGGGGAAAGGAGAGGAGAAGAGGTAAAGGAGGAAAAGAAAGAGGGTCAAAAGAGAGAAGGAGAGGAAGAGGGAAGGCAGAGGGAAAAGAGGGAGAGGGAAGGGAGAAAGCATAAGGAAAGGGAAACGAGGGAAAGGGGAGGAGAGGGAAAGGGAAGGAAGAGGGAGAAGGAAAGGAGAGGGAGAGGGAAAAGAGAGGCAAAGAGAAAAAGGGGAGGGAAAGGGTGCTGAGCTCTCTCACCTCCCTCCAGGCGTGGCCTGCAGTGGCACCGATCCCACCTGGAAGTGTGTGTGCACCCTCTCAGGGTATCACAGCAGGACCATCTACGACGTGTCCTGGTGAGGGGCAGGTATTGGGGGCACCCCAAAACAGGGCCCTGTCCCCTCCTGGTGACACCCACGACCCCTCCAGGTGCCACCTCATTAGGGCCCTGTCCCTTCCAGATGCCACCTCCCCAGATCCCATCCCCTCTGTGTGTCCCCCAGGTGCCACCTGACAGGTGCCCTGGCCACAGCCTGTGGTGACGACGCCATCCGGGTGTTCGAGGAGAGCCCCACGTCGGAGGAGGCCCAGCCCACCTTCAGCCTCACCGCCCACGTGCCCCGGGCACACTCCCAGGACGTCAACGGGGTGGCCTGGAACCCCAAGGAGCCAGGACTCCTGGCGTCCTGCAGCGATGACGGGGACATCGCCTTCTGGAAGTACCAGCGCCCTGAGGGCTGCTGAGAGGGACAGACCCCCTTGTGTGTCCCCCCGAGCCCACCCTGGCCTGCTCCTCAGCTGTGGGAGGCCAGGACAGCTGTGCCGGACTCTGGTTGGATCCAGGATCTGGAGCAGGACTTTCTCCCCTCTCTTCCCCCCCCCCCAATAAATCCATGAGCTCCTGGCCTCTGGATCTTCCTTCCACAAGTGGTTTGGGACTTACAGTTCTTGGGTTGATGGTTGGATTTGATCCTAAAGTCTCTTCCAACCTTCAGGATTCTATGATCACACACCTGGGATCTTCCTTTCACACTCCTGGAACCCTCAGAGTGACACAAGAGGGTGTGGGTGCTCCCTGGACATGGATGAGGTGGCACGAGGGGACAGGACCACCCAAGGGGAAGCACTGAGGTGTTGGGATCATCATAGTTTTCCCAGAAATGTCCTAATTAGTGCTGCTAATGAGCTTGTTGAGCCTCAGGGTGAAGGCAGAGCTCAGTGAGTCTGGAGTCACACTTTTTCCCCCCCTCCTCACCCCATCAGCACAGAGTCAGGTCCCAAGATTTATTGCAGTTGCTGTCATGCAGCTCCTGCCTAGAAAACACTGTACAAAGCATCCACACTTTAAAAAACCAAAGGAAAACACGTGGAAAACACATGGAAACAACACAAAGGGAGGGGACACGAGTGCTGTGGAGGTTGGGGGTGGGGGGCTGAGCTCTGGGGGGGCTCCTCTGGCCTGGGATCAGTCAGAGTCGCTGTCGCTTTCCGCCTCCTTCACGTCTACACTGAACTTGTACTCCTGGTCACAGCCCATGTAGGCGTCACTCATGAAGTACAATGTGTAGTTGTGAGTCCCCGTGGCTGGAGCCACGAAATCCAGCTTGACCTGGGTGGGGAGGGGGAAGTGTTGGGATGGCAGCAGGGACAGCAGGGAAGGGTCCTGTGCCACCCCCGGTGCCACCCCCTACTCACCTTGGCCTTCTGCTGCAGCGTCAGGCGCTTGATGGAGATGAGGCTGTTGGACTTGGAGTCTCCGATCACCACCCACCAGCCCTCCTCACGTTTCTGAGGGGGAGGGAGGAGCAAACAGGTGAGATCTGGGGACAATTCCCCCCCTCCCTAACCTGCCACCCCGGTGTCACCATACCTGAGGGAACAGGGGTGCAATGACAGGCCCTGTGACCTCCTCCTCACGCTCCAGCTGCACCAGCACCACCACGGGCCCTCCACTGCAGGAACAGAAACACAGAATCGTGGAATGGTTGGGGTTGGAGGGACCTTAAATTCCACCCAGCTGGAGGGACCCCAAGGCCACCCACCTGCGGATGCTGTCCTTGTCCACCACCTCGTAGGACAGCTCGATGTTGGGGTAGCGGTTGCAGAACCGGGCGACATCGGCGATCTGGGCATCTGAGAGCTGCAGCAGCGCATTTCTGTCCTCGTCCTCCATCTCCATGATGTCAAACACGCTCTCCACACCCTGCAAGGAGGGATTTTTTCAGCCTGGAGCTTCCCGGCACTCCGAGGGCAGGATCCTGGTGCTCCTCCCACCAGGATTTACCTTGTCCGTGCAGCGCTTGATGTGCTCTGAGGTGAAGTGAGGCAGCTGCTTGAGGTAGGAGTCCTTGGACCACATGGCCTGGGTGACCATCTGGGCCAGCTCCATGGCGGCCAGAGCTGGGCTCAGCCACCCATTGCTGGACAGCACGTCCACGCAGGCCTGGATCAGCCGGATCGCCTGGACATGGGGGACAGAAACGGGTTAAGGGGTGGAGACAGTGACACGGGGAGTTGGGTTGGTGTGCCCAGGGTTTGGTAGCGGAGGGGCTACAGGGTTGGATTCAGTGAGAAACTGCCAGAAGTTTGCCCCATGTCCAGCAGAGCCAATTCCAGCAGACCCAGGACAGACCCACCACTGGCCAAAGCTGAGCCCAGCAGGAATGACAGTTACACCTCTGGGATAACACGTTTAAGGAAAAAGTTATGGCACAGATGGAACTGGGTGCAGGGAGGAGCAGAGTGAGAACATGTGAGAGGAGCAGCCCTGCAGAGCAGGAGGAGCAACATGCTATGAACTGACTGTGACCCCCATTCCCATCTCTGGAGGTAGGAGGGAGAGCCTGGGAAGGAGGGAGGGGAAAGTGTTTTTTGAAGACTTATTTAACTTTTCATTATCCTGCTCTGATTTGGTTGGTAATAAATTCAATTCCTATCCCCAGTTCGAGTCTGTTTTGCCCATGGAGGTGATTAATGAGGGATCTCTCCCTGTCCTTATCACAACTCATGGACCTTTCCCTATATTTTCTCTCCCCTGTCCAGTTGTGGAGGGCAGTGACAGAGTGGTTTTGGTGGGTCCCCCAGCCCCACCTTGCTGAGGATTTCCTCGGTGTCCGACTGCAGCTCCGCACTCAGCTGCATCCGGGACAGGTGGGCCTGGAGCAGCAGGTTGGTCTTGACGTGGGGATCATTGAATTTGGGGTTGGTCAACTTGTGGGGGACCTTTTGGGACAGCTGTGGGAAGAAATGATTAACCCATCAATGCTTTACCCTGAAAACATGGACAATTCCATCCCTGGGGTGATGCAGAGAAACCACCTTTTGGAATCACAGCATTAATTAGGATGGGAAAGAGCTCTGAGATCACAGAATTGCAGAATTAATTAGGTTGGAAGAGACCTTCAAGGTCACTGAGTCCAACCTGTGACCAATCCCCACCTTGTCACCCAGCCCAGAGCTCTGAGCACCATGTCCAGTCGTTCAGAAATTGCCCCCCTGAGCCTCACCTGGCGCAGCAGGTTGTCCTCGTGGTGCCGGATGGGGATGTTCTCGTACTCAGCGGCATTGGAGATGATCTCAATGAGCCCTCTCACCTTGGTCTTGGCATTAAGGGACATGCTGAAGAGCTCTGGGGAAGGGAGGAGTGGAGACAGCATGAAAACACTGATTTTTTTCAGAGAAAAGAGGCAAAAGGATGGAGTTTTACACACCCACAGCACCTTCTCTGTCACCTGTGGCACTGGATCAGGGACGGAGGGCAGGTGTGGTGCCTGTCCCTGGGGAGCCCTCACCTATGGTGGTGTAGTTGATGTAGTAGTAGGCAGCAATCATGCCCAGGTTCAGAGGAGCCACATCCATCTCATCTTCGATGCTGATGCACTTGGACTGCTCCAGGTCGCTCAGGGTCTGCTCCACCAGCTCGGAGAGGTGATCTGAAAGGTGCCTGTGGGACACACCTGTGGGTACAGCAGAGCTCAGAGACTTTCCAGGAAGGGCAAAAAAAGCTACAGAGCCCACAGGCAGAGGGTCCCTGATACCCTCAGCCCTCTCTGCCCACCTTGCAGGTTGTAGTAGTTGGGGTTCTGGGTCATCCTGCGGTACAGGAAGGTCCATGTGAGATAATCCACCGCATCCTGCTTGTTCTCGATGGTCTTGGTGACGATCTCGGCGTTGAAGTGGTCGTGCATGCAGTGATCCAGGTGGGATTCCACTGGCAGGGGCTCGTACAGGAACTTCTTGAAGAAATCCTACAGCCAGGGCAGGAGGGAAGGGGTAAATAAACCTCCAAAATCCCAGAGCGACTCCCAGGTCGCAGCGCTATTGGGAGGGTTTGGGTCATCTCCACGGCTCTGAGTGAGGGTTATCCATCAGCTGGGAGAGAAACATCTGCCTCCACACCCTAGGAAGATATTTGAAGACCAGGAACGTGCTCCAGCCCTCACCCACCTTCTTGGACCCCTGGCACATGATGACACAACGGCCCTCGTCGTCCTGCAGCGGGCGGTTGGCGTGGCCCACCATCTGCAGCACATCGTAGATGGGGTAATCCACATACCTGGGCAAGGACAGAGGGTGAGCAGAGCTCCAAGGAGAGCTCCCAGGGATCCCCCTGGGCAGGAATGAGGCCCTGTGGGATTGGGGGGGCCCCACTCACGCATGGATCTTGCCGTTGTAGTACTGGGTGTCCATGATGATCACCAGGTGGGCCGCAATGTTCATGCCCCAGCACAGGCTGCGGGAGGCCACCATCACCTGGACTGCGCCTGGAAGGGGAACAGGAAGGGTGCTCAGCAATTCTGCAGGGCACTGGAATTGGGGGGGGGAGAGATCTGTGGGGTTCTGTGCTCCCCAGAGGGGTCTGGGAATACAGGGAGGTGCAGGAAAGGTGGGGGGTGATGTTTAAGATGGCAGATTTTTGGATGTGAGAGGTAGAGGATCACAGAATCATTGAATGGTTAGGGTTGGAAGGGACCTTAAAGATCTTCCTGTTCCACCCCCTGCCATGGGCAGGGACATCTTCCACTATCCCAGGTTGCTCCAAGCCCAATTGCAAAACCTGGCCCTATTGAACACGTAATCCAGGATCCGCAGTCTCTCATGACACACAGCTGCTCTGGGAATTCCATTCCAGCCCCTACCCACCCTCACAGGGAAGAATTCCTTCCTACTATCCCACCTAACCCTGCCCTCTGTCAGTGGGAAGCCATTCTTCCTTGTCCTGTCCCTCCAGGCCATTGTCCAAAGTCCCTCTCCAGCTCCTGGAGCCCCTTTAATCTCTGGAAGGGGCTCTCAGGTCTCTGTTAGAAGTGCCACAAAGCTTGGACAAGGTGTCATCTCCAGTCCCAAGACTTTGGGCACTGTTGAGCTCCATGGAAAAGGGTTCCAGGCCCTGTCCCCACCCTTACCAGAGCTGAAGAGCTGCTCCACCACACGTCGTTCCATGGCCGTGAGCCCCTCGTGCAGGTACCCAACCCCGTTCACCAGTGTCTCCTTCAGGGTGTTGTCGTTCAGCTTGTCCAGGTACGGCACCAGGTCCTTCTCTGCGCAGTGCAGGAACCTGCCCGGGAACCATAGAATGGTTTGGGTTAGAAAAATCCAGTAAGATCATCGAGTCCAACTGTTCCCCCAGTGCTGCCCAGGCCACCACTGACCATGTTCACAAGTGCCATGAGGGATGGGGACTTCACCCCTGTGCCAGGGCTGGACAGCCCTTTCCATGAAGGAATTTCCCAATATCCAACCTGACCTTCCCCTGGCACAGCTTGAGGCCCTTTCCCCTTGTCCTGTCCCTTGTTCCCTGGGAGCAGAGCCCGACCCCCCCAGCTCCCCCTCCTGTCAGGGAGTTGCAGAGAGTGAGAAGGTCCCCCTTGAGCCTCCTTTTCTCCAGGTAGAGCCCCCCCAGCTCC